TGCTCATAAAGTCATAGAATGGTTTGGGTTGGAAAGGACCTTAAGATCATCCAGTTCCAACCCCCCCTCATGCCAGATGAGTCCTTGCCACCACACACCATGGCCAGGACCAGCGATGACCACGCAAAGCCAACACAAGGGGACCCCACCATGCTCCACCTTCCTCTCCTGCTTGACTTGATCTCAACCGCCATTGACCAGGGACCTGATTGTCCCCCAGCTGCCACCCTTGAGGAGGACACTTTGCAGGGGACCCTCCGCCCCACACCAGTGCCATGGCACCCACCTTGCCAATGACATCGTTGCGGCTCAGCCTGTCCTTGTCCATGACGGTGATGACGATGGTGGTCTCGCGCAGCCGCTCCGTGGGGATGTCGAAGGCGAAGGACTCATTGAAGACGGGGTTCAGGCACCGTTTCATGACCACCGTCTTCTTCTTCTCCACCCGCTTGTCCTTGTACATCAGCCACACCTTCACATAGGGGTCTGGGGGAACAGGAGGTGCTCTCAGCCCTGGCCGGGCACTGGGAAGTGACGCCCAACGTGGCAGGAGGTGCAGCTCATACCTGACGTGCCCCCGATGTCCATGGCTTTGAGGTTACGTGCTTTGATGATGTTCACCACGATGGAGTTGGCGGAGGGGTTATAGCACAGCGACAGCAGCAGCTCCCCACGGCTTCCCTGCGGGACCCACAGAGGCCCTTGGGTGGGTGCTCCTCACTGCAGCACCCAGCCCAAGCCTTGATAGGGCACCTAAAGCCCCCCTGTCCCACTGTGGGAGCAGGGTGCTGAGCTGGGAACCCCCCTCCAGAGCTGACCCAAGGGTGGACTTTGGGGCCACACAGAAAAACAGGGCAGGAGGAAACGGGGCCATCCCCAGTGGGACATTCTGTGGTCTCGCTGGAGGCAGGAGAGAAGGAGAACTTTCATTTTAGATGTACCCAAACCAGCTTGTTTTGACCCAAAATGAGACACTCTGGACTACCTAGTGCCTTAACATAAAGATTTGGGGTGAGAAACCTCTCCAATGGACATCAAACCTTCTCACAAGGCAGAAAACATCTCTATTGGGGGAGACAGAGGTTGGTGGTCCCATTGGGACACCTCAGGGGCAGGGGAGACCCTCCTCCTGAGGGCTGTGCCAGGGGATGGAAGGGGGACCAGGGCCTTACGCTGCCATCGCTGCAGGGCTTCAGGTCCTTCCAGAAGGTCTGCATCTGGGTGAGGTCCACCTTGTTGAGGGGGATGGACACCTCCCCGATGGGGTCGTTGCGGCTGAAGCGGTCGTAGTCCAGGACCTGGAGGTACAGCACCCGCTGCACCACCTTCTCATAGGGGAACCCTGTGCCAGAGATGGAAGAGGATGAGGAGCCAGCATGGTCATGCCAGTGGGCATCCGATGCAGGCACTGCTCTTCCTTGCGCTGACGGGGAGATGTTGATACCAGGGAGCAGATCATGGCAGGAGCAGTGGTCGGTTAGTTCCCAGGTGTGCACCCATCCATGGGTGCTTGGTGGGGAAAGGAGGAGCCTCCCCACATGTCCCTTGTGTGCAGAGCAAACACTGCCAACATAGCCTTGACGGCTTGGCCAACCCATCTCGTCACTGATGGCCACCACGTTGGCAGCTTGACCTGAGCTGATCCAGCCAAGGAGGGAGGATAGAGGGTCCCTCCACTGCTCCGCTCCCACCATAGGCCACTCCAGTCCCTCCCAGTCCCTACCTTCGAAGAGGAAGGTCTCATTCCAGTGCGGGTTGAGGTTCTTCCGCTTCACCTTGGTCTCCAGCTTGTGCTTCTTGTCGGGGAGCAGGTAGATCTTGACGAAGGGGTCGCTGGTGCCGCTGAAGTCCTTGGCTGGCAGCTCCTGCGCCTTCATGATCTTCACGGTCAGGGTGGACTCCTGGAAGTTGTAGCCGACGCTGAACTGGATGCGGCCCAGGTTCTCCCGGCTGATGCCATCATGGGCCTCATCGTCCTCGGAGCCTGGAGAGAGCTGTGACAAGGGGGAAAGGGTGATGAGCTCCTGGGGACCACCAGTGGGGTCTGCACACCCTTGTCCCCCCTCTTTCAGCGCCTAAACTCAGCTCCCACCAGCACCCAGCCTCCAAACCCTGCGAGCTGTCACTGGGCATCAGCTTCTCAACCAGCTCCCTGTCACCATCGTCACCTCGGATGGCTCCTGGCTCCACGCCACACATCCCAAGGATGGGAAGTGCCAATTAGCCAAATTCCTCCTGACAGCCATCCCTCGCATCTCCAGCACTGCTCCATCATGCTGGCCCAAGGGGAACGGCTGCGTCACCTCGGCTGTGGCAGGGATGTGCCACTGCTTATGGCACAGGGAAGGGACACCCATATGGTGCCCAGGGTGGGTCAGCAACCATGGGGAGCCCGTCCCCATCACACCCCATCACCCACCATGAGCATCTCGCTGGTCAGGGAGTTGACCAGGTCGGAGACGGAGGAGCGAGGCTCTGTCTTGCGGTCGGACTCATCGTG